GATGGAGGAGGGCGACGGAAATATGGAAGAAGTTGAGGCGAGGCATCATCGGGTGGTGGTGGCGGCGGCCAACAGTGATTGACGGCCCGCCCGGCGGTGTCGCCTAATGAGTGCGACCACCACCAAGCGTGGGTCACCTTAGGACGGTGACAGTGCCGTGGTGGTCACGCACAGATATAAGACCACGAGACTGTGAGAAAGAGAGGGGCGGGGAATCTCGGGCGGCAACCACCGCACAGTGGCCGTGCGCTGCGCTGTCGTGGGCGTGTGATGGTGGCTTTCAGGAAAAGAAAGCTTCAAGCCATGACGTTATCGACAGTGTCCGGTGTCATCCCATCCTATAGTCCCGGATTTCTCATTAGGCATTTTGCCCCAACATATTCGGATTTATCCCGTCCAAATGATGTCATTGAGCACCAGTAATCCGGGCTGTCAAGTGCAACTTTAGATTTTAGGATCCCAAATTGGTGGGTTCTACTGTTTGTCATTCCATGTTATTAGTGTTAGATTCTCCATGTACAAATACGTGCTTATTCAAATGTCACGGTGCGATTTGTTGATAAATGGTGCAAATTATTAGCATCGAAACTACATGATACGACCAAAGAAATAAAGGAAACCTTGAGATGAGTTTAAATATTTCCTTCTCATGACCGAAAATCTAACCTGAAAGTGTAATATTCTTTCACGTGTAGATTGAGATTGGCGGATGTGTTTTAGGATGAGGCGCACAAACACAACGAAATAGAGAGTAATAGTGAGAAAGAAAAATCTAGACACAGGATTTATCCTGGTTCACTCTTAAACTAGAGTTATATTCAGTAGATGATTTTACTATAATTAGCCTATTGAACCACACCTCAATAATGTGGAGCTATATGGACGAAATAAACAAGAACCGAAGCTTACTGCGGTATACAAGGTGTATAAAGCACATTGAAACTTTATAGATAAGGGATGTTAGGCAAATTTAACATCTCCCCGTCCACTTCACGTGAGATTGGCTGTGACAGAGGACCAAAAGGCGCTCTTGAAAACGACCGAGCAATTTGGAAGTTGAGCGGGAGAAGAACACGCATGAACATGCACGAGTGCCATGTCTGGTCCACACATGCACACAATTTTCCCGGTCCGGACGGGATTATTGCGATTGCATTATTGAGCTAGCTGCCAAGGTTGATCCAGGAACGTGGACCGAGGAATTATTGATACAGTTCATCTTCCATATATTCTTTGAAGCTTCTAATCCTCGCTAGCCCGTTACCCGAAAGCCGTAAAGTCTGTCGTCATCTAAACAAAGGAACACGATTCTCTTGCATTGCATGATAAGCGTATTAGTCTAAAGACATGTGAATTGCTGACTGGGATGGTTCGCCATTTTACCAAGAAAGGGAAAGTTTTTTTTCGGGTCAGTAGGAGGGCTAGTCGTGCATCTGGAAAGAGCACATCCATTCATGCACCTGATGCTTTTCAAATCATTTCAGAGCCAGGACAAAGAGTCACCTTTTTTGGAGCTTACCTATTTATTCAATTACCAGTTTGGGAACTGAATTCGACCGCTGTTTCTGCTTTCGCTATCGTTTATGCGACCTGTGCCAATGTGATACACATGTATCCACGGATAAGGAGTGCGTTGAGAGCCCCGTACATCGTTAGTGTTGGGTTTGCTTTTGCCCGACTCATAACCACGAATACACATGGCTCGCCTCGTGCGCACGTGCACTGAGTAATGCCGTACTCACGGGATGGTGAACATGGCTACAAAGATGGTTCCGAATAGGAGATGCTATGAGTCGAATTTGGTACTTAATTGTCGGAAATCATGTCTTCACTTTCAAGAGAAACGTTTCTGTTAAGAACAGTCACTCAAAATTTCCTTCGGGAGAGATTAGACTTGATGGAGACTTGGGGTTGAACTGCCAGTGCTGGAGTGGGGGAGGGACAGTGAAGATTTGCTGGAACGTTGAGGACTGTGGAGGCAACTAAAGGCCGGTTTGGCAAATTGCCAAATAGCGAAAATTTCAGTTCTTTTGTTCCCAGAATCAGTTCGAAAATAGAAATCCGTTTGTTCAATTTTTTGTTTCCGGGCACAAATTTGCAAAAAATTATTCCCAGAATCAGTTTTGGAATAGAATCAAGAAGTAAAAAAAAGTAACTTCTTGATTCTGGGAATAATTTTTCCATTTCTGATTCTTCTTTGATTTCTTCTTCCTTCTTGGTTTGTTGTTTTTCTTCTTCCTGGCCTGTCACCGGCCGGTGACCGGCCACAGGCTAGGGTCCCCCTCGCCGCCTAGGTGAGGACAGCTCATGACCGCGACGGTGAGGCATCGCCTAGATTTGGCGAGGCCGACCTCGTCGTCGCCTCACCCAGCCAAGGCAAGGCCGGTCTCGCCGTCGTGACCGGCGAGGCCGGTGGCGAGGGCCGCGACGCCCTCACCAGCCCTGGCTTGTGTGCCGGCGACCAGCCATGGCAAAGGAAAGTAAGGGAAAGAAAGAAAAAAAAAAGGAAAAAAAGAGAGAAAGAAATATTAAAAAATTCAAAATATTATTAATAAAAACAAATTTTGTTTAGTTACCAAATGCATTTTTATTCTTTTTCTATTCTAAGAATAGAAATTTTGGGCAGTTATCAATTGCTTTCAAATGCTTAGAAATTGTTCCCATGCATGGAATAAAAAAGAATCATTTCTGATTAGAATCAGTTCCCGGGCACACAGAATCGTTGCCATGCGCACCTTAAAGCACCTAAGAAAAGAGCAGCATTTGACCCTTACCAATGCATATGTAGGGGACCAAATGGACAACCACGACAGTGCTCTGAAATGCAGGCAACAGCCCATGCTAGAGAAATTATTGGAAGACATGTTGTTGAGTGAAGTGTCTGGACCTCCCAAGGTCTTCAATGCTCAATGCCTCTTTCAGGTAACCTAAAGATCCTTCTTCTTTTTTTTTTTTTTACTAGGAACTTTTTTCAGTGAGATATGGTCTATTCAAGTTAACATTGTTTTAACAATAATAGCTCATTTAATGGATGGAAGGAAATGGTTGGCCTATGGCCCTGTCAGTGCTGACTGCCAAGACCCAATGCGGCAGCAGTGCCCCAGCAGTTTCCGGTCGACAAACGGAGAAGATGACGGCGAGGCGGCGGGCGCAGCTTCCAATGCCGATGGTATCTCGACGAACAGGCAAAATGGGAAACCAAAAACCATTTTCACTTGACAAAATGAAGGTCGGCTTGGGAGGCGAACTACAGTAGGGATCCGAATTCATTGAGCTAATCAAGAAATCATTACCAAATACAACTGGACTCGAACTTTTCGAACTTATACAGTGAAGTAGGAAGTAAAGCCGAACATATCTACGTTAGATACTCCTCTTTAGTGATGTGACAGAGTGATGAATTGAGAGCATAAACACGAGTTTGAACTTTATTTTGGCTGTCAATCAGTGACTCGCCATTTTTGGGTCGATTTCATCTACATTGTATTCTGCTTTGAGAGTCCAAAGACCAGCAGTCGGAATTAGCAGCGGAAGCCAGCAAGCAAGCATCCAAGCGAGGGACACTGTGACAAGACCGAGAGAACCAAGCGATTCGACCGACATTGGACTTTCTACGCTACACGACAACACAAGCCCCTCCGTGTCTGTCTACTCCACTGACGACTAGGCTCAGCTAATAGAGGTTGAAGTGCCTTTGCAGGCCGTCTCCAATCACAGTAGTTCCATGAAATTGGCGACGTGTATTGTCATCAGTCGATCCCGCCAAAAGCTTGAGTTAAAAAAGATGGGAAAGTCTAATTCATGCGAAGTGGTACTAGACCAACCACACAATTACGCCAAAGTGTCGAGTCTCATGTTTGAAGGAGCTGGTAGAATGATAAAATCTAAGAATTGCATCGAAAGACGGATCCTTGGTGCATGACAGATTGTAACAAGCAAATTTACAAGGTGTTAGCGGGTTAGATTTTTCTTCTCATTTGCTATGACGGATGACACATCCTCGAAGAATTGGATTCTCCGAGATTTAGTGAGGCCCCTTGCAGGTACATATTGCTAGTTGTCTCCTTCCTGATGTCATTATGGTGAGGATAGTTTGATACGGTGGAACTTGAACAACAATTGCAGTGGAATGAGTTGGAGAATGAAGTGAATCCGGAAACTCGGATGAAATTACCGAAAGAGTAGGGTTATTTCTTCTGCTTTTTTATCTGAAAATTTTAGGAATAGGATAGGAACTTACTTCATATGAATCAAGCGCAAAGAAGAGTTAATGATGCAATTAAAATCATTGTTTCTTTTTTTTGTCATAGCACTTAAAATCATTGCTCATAAGTACTCTTATCAATTCTACAATGAATGGACTGACAATGACCATGACAATGACCATTTCCTTGGTGGAGCCATGAATGGGTCGTTCACTCGTAATCCCTAGCAAGAGTTCAGTTGATTTGCAAACTTGAAAATAAAGAATAACAGTTAGATCGTGAGTGAAAGGAAAAAATCCTAAATCTTGCGCCTCTCCGCCTCCGCCTCCACCTCCGCCTCCGCCTTACTTTACCTCCTTCTTTTGCCTCCCTAGTGTACACGCTCAATCGCCATCATCCTCGGCCCATCATTTGCGCCTCGCCACCATCGCTTCTCTCTCTCTCTTTCTATCTCGGAGAAAAACTGAGCAGTCAAGCTATGGTCGAAATTGGTGCCAGGCTCAGGCAAACCCAGATTGGACTTCTAATGAGAGTAGCTGGAGACTATTCAATGCCATTATCTTGACGTATAAAACCGAAATCCGAATCCCTTTTCATTGCACTGTGCCATTGAAACCGTGACCTTCCTTACATCAATCCTACAAAATAACTGTACTCTCTAATAGAGAATGATTGTCTTCCACATTCTTATGCAAACTATACCGACAAAATACTATTCAATACTGATTAATATTGCTTGACGTATGCTCGCTAGACTCTTCAGAAAGGACATTGACTTCGTACCATATCGAGAAAGAGAATAATGAGGCCTCAGATTTAGTTCACTCTCAAACAGACGTTCGTGGACGAGGATGCGGAAGGACAGCCAACTGGCGATACTGTGTGGATTGCGCAGATTGGATAGTTATATATTCGAACCTGACCTAGCCTCCTCTGTTTCTATAACAGAGAAGCAACACGAACAGGGCGAGAGAGACAGAGAGAGAGAGAGAGAGAGTGAGGAAGGATTGAAGGCCATTTTGTGGCGAAGTAACTGTGGGAGAGCGCTAGAGAACGATGGCTAGTAGTAGCGGGTGCGAATCTGGTTGGACTCTATACCTGTGCGGGTCATCTTTCTCTTCCGAGAAAGACTCTGGTGGTGGCAGCAGAATCCTTGAAAGTCACAGAGTAAAAGAAGAGGAAGGAGGAGGAGAGAGCTTGTCTATGCTCTCTGACGCGTCCTCAGGACCTCCGTGTTATTATGAGAACGAGCCTTCCTTTTCCTCTTCCCCTGCTTGCGGCAAAAAGAGATCGAAGAAGCCAGAAAGTGTCGCGAGGCATCACCATTCTTGTTTTGAGGACACTGCTACTTCCGCGCAACTGAACTCTCCCAAGGCAAGTTTTAGCAAAGCGGGAGGGAAACGTATTCTTCTTTCATTTTTAAAGATCGCCTTACTAAATTCATGCAAATGACAAGAAGTCAAACTTTGTTGCTTTGCTTCGCCATTGCGTTGTTGATCTTTGCTCGACAGTCTAAAATCGTTTGGTTGTTGAGTTTTGTCTTTGATGTTTCCGCAGAAGAGCTTAATAAATCCCTTGCAAAATCAAGTGTCGGCCAACCATGTTTGGGATTCTTCAGATGGTTACTCTGTGGGCCGCGTGAAGGTAATGCCCGGTTTTCCATTGTCGCCGCTCCCAATTCTTGATCTGTGGGTCTGCTCCCTTTTTCTTTTCTTGATTTGGAGAATAATCGCCTGAAACTCATGCTCATGGATCATGTGAGCCACTAGTAAAAAACTGGGCGATCGCGTATTGTTTGCACTTGGTAACTTGACGAATTGAAGCTTATTGCGCGCCTCATCCACACACTCGCATGGCTATATTACACTGGCGTAAATATGAACTGTTTAAACTGTATGTCACTTGGGCTTGATGATTGCTCTGTTATCGATTCTCTCAGGGAAAGCACCGTGATTTCCTGGAGTCCTCTGAGGACGCGAGAGTGAGACATCACAGGAAAGCTGCGAAAGGCCTCTCGAAGAGTTCAACTTGACATTTCAGTTCAGGAATCGGCGAAATCAAGTTAATTATACAGGAAAAATCATGTAAGCTCTATATGTTTCATGGGCTGAGATGAACTTTTTATTACAATGCATGTAGTGTTCCCTTGTTTTCGTCTGTACGTAATTACGTTGTGGTACAACTGCTGTTGTTACCAAAGCAAAAGGGAGAAGAAAAAAAGGAACTGTTATTGCAGATTTCGCAGAGGCGAAGCATGGTGTGATCCGAAGAGGGCACTGAAATTCTGTTGGAACCGTGGTTTCTCTTCATCTTTCTGTGGATCGCACAATCATTTCTCCCCCTTTCATTTACTGGTACATAGAATGAAAGGAAGGATGTCTCGCATCTTCCTAAGGATGTCTCGCATCTTCCTGTCACCCCTTGGGGAACATCCTCAGATGTCGAGCATGTACATGATGAGACACAGCACAGTCAATTCCATTTCTAAGATTAGTTTTCTGTAATAACTTTATGCTTATTTTATCGAGAGTAATATACTGGCGTCTAATTCTGAGAGCGATGGAATTAATTTTGATTACAACGTCGCTGTTAAGAATTGACTAAATTGGCTTTGGCATTAATTTTTGTGTGCAAAGATAAAGAGAGAGATGTGACTATCCAGAAACAGATTAAAAGAAAGCGATAAAGATAAACGTCATGCTCGCATACTAACCATCCATCCGACCAGAGTAACTCATGCGTATCCGCAGGTTCTCCCGACTGGTTTCGCTCCTGAATTCGCCAGATGAGCTTGCAGTGAATACGCACGAACGCACAAGGCCAGATGACCAGATGTGAAGAGAATCTGAATTCTAAGCATTAATCAGAAAAGGCTCTCTTCTGAGCTTTTACTCAAGAATGATCTTGAGGTTTTAACGGACGCTTCTTTGGGCACTGTCCGAAAAGCAGCGTGAATCATGAGAAGGGCACCGTGCAATCCGAATCGATTCTAATTGAGATGAATTCATGCTGAATCGAAGCAAATAGGGAAATTTTAACCTGACGGATGGACCTACCACGAGAGAAGCACAGAGTTGCAATTTCCGAGAGATTTACAGTAAGCATACACACCTTTTTCTTAAGATTGAAAGAAAAGTAGGGACCTTTGTACACTGACACCAAGACGAGAATCATCAAATTCAAATCGAACACACTGCCTCTCAAAGACCCACTTCGGAACAGTTGGGCAGATCAAAGATGAAACAAGAAAGTCATCTGTTTTTCTTTTCGTTTTCTGGTTCTTCCCATGATCGTGATTCTTGATGAATTGCGATGCATCTCCTCAATGCACGTAATTCCTGTTTCCGACAGCGTAGCTTCTGCTTCTCGGAAACAGCAGATCATCCTTCTTCACGGCATCGTCTTCCCCGAACTCGCAAGGCTCCTCCTCGTCGATCCGACCCATCGCGACGCTGCAGCTCTTGGGCAGCACCTTCGGCCCCCAGTCCGACGAAGGCCGCTGCTTCAGATGCCGCTGCTGCCGCCGCAGGATCGCGTCCACGTCGATCTTGTCCCCGAAGCTCCTCGCGGAGGCGGCCCGCACCAGCTCCCCGAGGTCGTCGGCCTCGCCGGACGCCCTCGACGAGCTCACGCTGAAGCTCCGGGGCATGGCGGAGAACTGCCCGGTCGGGCACCCGACGCTGCCGTACCCGACTCTGTCCGCGTAGTTCAGGCCCCGCACGTACAGGTCCCGCGCCTTGGTCAGGGCCCTGAGGGGGATCGTGATGATCCTCACGAACCGGTTGTGGCCGTGCGTCTTGGTCTTCATGGTCGCAGCTCCTCGTTACACCGAGAAAGATCACAGCTCAGGATCAAGAATTGGAGGGAGAAACGACGGCAACCGCTCGAAACAGAGGTAAACACTCGAACTTGGGCAGCGAAGATGAGCGAAGAGATGATGTTAGCGGGACGGAGACTACCGAGTGTGGTGGTGGGGGGGGGAGACGACGGGTTTGGACTTCGGAGAGCAGACGTTTACTGGAGGAACCATGGACGGAGAGAGCGCGGATTATATACAGGATGGTGGCTGGTCGCGCTTGGCAAGCGATCGGTGAGGACTGCGGCTTTGTTGACCGTGGAATGGTCGACCTTTCCGACTGGCTTCGTGTCCCCGTTCTCATCCGGATGATGTCACTTGGCTGACTCGCTCGTTGGACTCTTGATTGTTCAAAAAGCTTTGGTCCACGTTGAAAAGCGGGCGGGCGGGGGGACGAGATTCCGATCCACCGGGGGCATCCGATTCACACGGTGAGAAGCGGGACGAGACGCTTTCCTTAATGCCCCATTATCGGACTGAGCCCAAAAAAAAAAAGTCGTAACGCGTGCGTGAATTGATGACTCGTTGTCCTGATTTACTCATTTTATCTTTGTCCCACACGAAGAGGAATGATAGTTTATAAACTATAAAAACAGATGGACATAAGTATGACTCATCATCCATAAAGATTGTCAAGTTCTCCAATAACGTCTCCCCGTTTTTTTCTTGTGATTCTAATAAGGACTCTTTAGATACATGGAATTTACTGTTTCGGATGAATCGAGCTCTGAAATTGAATATCGAGAGCTCTCTTTGTGCAAGGAACGATTGTAGGTGCATTCTCTGGAAAAATTTGTGGATGGACTCGCACAACCCATGAGGGTGAATGCGGCCGAACATGCCAAGACCCCTAGCTTGTTTAGGAACCCTCGAGCACTCGCGCTCTCGATCTGAAGCCAAGTACGAGTCGGAATATTTTTTTGAATTTTTATTTTTTTCCTTTTTTTCCACTTTTTTTTTTGGTTGTCTTCCTCCTTCCTCTGGCCGGTCGCCGGTCCGGCGACCGGCCAGAGGCCAGAGGCCGGCGAGCTCGACCTCGCCGGCCACTGGCGAGGGCGGCCTCGCCCGGCGAGGGCGAGCCTCGCCTTGGTCGGGCGAGGCTCGAGCCCTCGCCGGAGGCCGCGGCGAGGGCGAGCCTCGCCATGGTCGGGCGAGGTCGAGCCTCGCCCGACCAAGGCAAGGCTCGAGCCCTCGCCGGAGGCCGCGGCGAGGGCGAGCCTCGCCATGGTCGGGCGAGGCCCGACCTCGCCGGATCTGGCGAGGTCGAGCCTCGACCTCGCCAGATCCGGCGAGGTCGAGCCTCGCCCGACCAAGGCAAGGCTCGAGCCCTCGCCGGAGGCCGCGGCGAGGGCGAGCCTCGCCTTGGTCGGGCGAGGGCTCGAGCCTCGCCCGACCAAGGCGAGGCTCGCCCTCGCAGCGGCCTCCGGCGAGGGTTCGAGCCTCGCCCGACCAAGGCGAGGCTCGCCCTACTCGGCCTCTAGCCTCTGGCCGATCGCCGGTCGCCGGACCGGCGACCGGCCAGAGGAAGGAGGAAGACAACCAAAAAAAAAAAGTGGAAAAAAAAAGTGGAAAAAAACGGAAAAAAAATAAAAATTCAAAAAAATATTTAAAAAATATTAAAGTTGTCCACGTCGGCGCCACGTCAGCGCCGGTGACCGGCCGCCGGCCGGCAGGCGTCCACGTAGGCAAATTCCGGTCTAAATTGGCCGGACGACTAAACGCAGACAAAAATAAAAGGTTTAGGGACTGAATTGGCACCAATTTAAAAGGTTTAGGACTTAATTGGCACCAAAAAAAGGTTTAGGACTAATTGGCACCAATGCAAAGGTTTAGGACCGAATTGGCAAGACCAAAAAAGGTTTAGGACTAAATTGGCACTAATGCAAAAGGTTTAGGACTTTTTTGGCACTTTTCCCCTCAAACTTGATAAGCTATCTCGCGAGCTCAGATCTCTTTGGCCTGGGACGTGGGTGCGCTTATCACCGAATGCAAGGAATTATTGGCTCGATATTCTGATCTTCAATAAGCCTACTTAAATAGAGAGTTCAATAAATCAGCAAATTGGGTTGATAAAATCCATGGATGTAAGGCCCTGCTGCACGATCGGGTGTCTAGTCCTCTCCAAGTCCTATGGGATCTTGTATGTTCCGAAATCCCTTTGAATTTTAACCGGGTTTTTTCCTTAAAGAAATGAAACGGACTCTTTTGAAAGAAAAAGAAAAGAAGACGAGCTATTCGCTACGCCACTCTTCGATCAGCAACGCTCGCGGATACACTTGTTTTGCCCTGCGAATCCATCGAATCAAACGGAAGGTCGACGGGGAACAGCCGTCGTGTTCGGAACAGAGTGGACGGGAGGGACTGGGGAGTGCCGGCGGGATCGCATGATTGAACAAGGAACGAGGGACGTCGACGTGCCGCGAGGTTCAACGTGACCGCGAATGCGTGGGGACACAGAGAATTCCACTAAGGCGACTGTGACTCCGTTGCCGTCGCCGTCGTTTGCGAGAAGCTTCGTCATGTGATTTTGACATGAACAGGAACAGCGATGTTGTCGCGATCGGGACTGCTGCTGCTCTAGTCCAATCTATAAATCCTGAAGAGGCTAGTGGCACCAGCGTGAGAGATGGCGTGCAGAACTTTCCACCTGCTGAGGAACCCAACCTGCCTTTGAGCTTGGGCTATCCTTTTTGTCTTTTTCTCGGGCTTGCTTGTCACTTCTTTGGATTGCAAGATTGACTTTCGTTGGATCAGATGAGGGGAGTGGAAAACGAAACCTTGGAATAGATTCAGCAACATGAATTGGAATGATGTAATGCCACTTCTGTTCCAATGTTCGCCGTTACGTGTGTCCATTTTGACTAGGAATGGATTTCGGATGGAAACAAGTTAGAATGTAATTTGGGTTCGGACCACTCTGGACTCCCGGAAGGTCGTAGTCCAATTTCGAACCGTGGGACGGGCTCCGGTTTCATTAAAATACCATGGAATTTGGGATGGGTTTGGGGATTCACGTTTGGCGGGCATGAAAAATTGGAACTTGACCAGCTAAAATTGGAACTACCGTGATTTTCTAAAAGAGTCTTCAACCATATCGATGGTTACTATGTAGAGAAAGAATAACACAAGAAAAAGAAAAGGGTGGATTCAAAAGAACAGCTTGAGTTTTCTGAAATAGATCAACTTGCACCTCCTAACAAAATCCAAAACTCAATAGACTCGTTTACCCCGCTATCTTCAAACAGAAAACCGCAAAAAAAAAAAACCACCCACCACCACCCAACCAATCCGATGTCCACAATATCCAAACCCAAAATCAGCCGCAAATGTCTGACGTCGCCCACCACTAGGGCCGTGGTGAGGCCGGCGCCGCCCCCCCTCCCTCCCGCGGATGCATGAGCTCGAAAAAGGTCTAGTCATTTTAGAAATGACGGACCTTTTTAGAAATGATGATGTGAATTGGTATGTGAATATAACAGTGGCGATAAACAAATAAATGAACGAACCGGAGGAAGTGGATTGAAGTCCTTGTCACCCTCCCTACGAATAATCTAGGTCGGTTGCCTACCCTCGTCCCACTAAATTCGATTTTATCAAAGCCCATCATTTGCTCTGCGATCCATGCTGCATAACTTTTTGTTCTCAAAATGCTTCTATACCTGTGGAATGGCCAAAGGAAAAAGAAGCAAATCGCTTCGGTGGACCCCAAGTCGGCGGTGGATGTCCATCTTATTCTTAATCATGTCATCTAATTTAAGGTTTCAGTGACCCTTATCTTCATATCACCAACAGAGGATCGCAATCATTTGTTATCCTTTTGGACAAATAAGGAGGGAAATCCCCACTTTGTCTGCAGGACGAGGCACGTTTCGAGATCAGTGGTGGGGGTGGCTCCGAAAGGGGGACTCGGCTTTGGACACAATGTTGCTCATTCGTCAATTATCTCGAACCTCTTCTTAATCAATTCCCTACATAATGCGCACGACCACTATATCGTGACAGACATGAAGTAATACGTCTTGATGTCGTCGAGATCAATATTCTCGGTATGCCGCGTGGGACGGCCGGCCAGTGATGACTGGACCGCCACGTTAGCGATTTTCTATGAAAATTAACCGAAATGACTCATTGAAATTTCACGCAAAAATTTAGGACTTAATTGATAGAATTGAAAAACTTATGACCGAATTGGTACGCGTACGGTAGGTTTAAGGCTCATTGGGTAATTTCCCCGTACTTGTGTTATTCTCTATCACTCAACCCTCGTACACTCAACTCTTGAGCTCAACTAGACTTCGTGCTTATTGAAAACAAAGAGCTCAATCCGACTACCGAAAGCAAATTTTCGATTTAAATCTCGAACTTGAGCTCAAACTTACATCTTTGTGTCCCAATTCAAAGAGTTCTGGGATAAGTGCACTTGGAGTACTAAAGTTTGTCAAAAAAGTGTAATTGAATCCTAAAATTTTTAAAAAGTGCAATCAAATCATAAAACCTGTTAGACTTATTGAATGAGTTTTTAAGTAACTCCCAAGTAGGTCGTATGGACCTCCTCAAAGCCGGAACTCACAGGCTTGGTTAAGCACTTGATCTAGCCAAACGAGGAAGTGAGCTTGGCCCGCCAACATGGGTATTACATTTTTGTATCATTTTATTCTAATTTTTTTTTGCTAAGAAGTAGCAAATAGAAAACAAATTTTGGAAAATAAATACAAGCAAAAGTTGCCTTATATAGACTTAAAAAAAAAGGGAAATAGTATAAATAAGTAGAGAAACGCTTATAATGTGTGGATTTCAAAGGATGCAAGTTTTTGCCGGAACTAGCTAAGGCCGGGGTTCATGCCCTAAAATTTGTCCGTGCCGGTTCACTCTCCGACATAAGTTAAGGCTGAGCTTTCCTTACCAACGAGCCTAAGCAGGCCCTTTGATGGCTATGACAAAAAAAAAGTTTTCGGGATAATATCGCC